TCTTGAATTACTAATATATCCTATATATGTACTTGCATATATACCATATTGTAGTCTTTTTCAGGGGAGATAATATTTTTCGCAATAAATTTATTAACAGTTTTTATAGATTAACATCTTTATAATATATGATGCTTGATGGTAGCATCAAATTATTAAAAAATTGCTTGTCAATTTAATTCGCGATTACTAGAGTAGTTTTAATTGCGTTTATTTAGTCCGGAAAAACAATTCGGCGCGCAGTTTGAAAAAGACTACAATATGGTATATATGCAAGTACATATATAGGATATATTAGTAATTCAAGATTGAATTATTTAAAAGCAACAAAGATCCAGCTCGGACCGTAATAGGCAGTTACATTATAGTATTAATTGAGTATTTTTATAAACTTTTTTATTGTGATAATTTTTTATTATTTTAATAATATCAAAAAGGGTATTGTACATGCAACGCATACTCTTAAATAAGCAATTATGATTCATATACAATACCTACATTACATGTAATTTAATTTATACATTTCAATAATTGCTTCACTTATAACACTGAATTGTTCCAAAATAATTTCAACTTACAAATGAAGCAAATTAATAAATAAAGTAATTAACACATTTTTGCTCTTTTGTAGATGGCAGCTATCCCAATTAGTAACATCTGCATCATTTGCAAGGCAGATTCTGAAAATGGTGTAGTAGTGACTGTAACACGAGGGATAGAAACTCTGAAGTCTGTGAGTGTACAACGAAAAGATGACATTCACAACATAATTCGAAATTTGGATTCCATTACGATTCACGCGGAATGCAGGAGGAAGTACACTCTTATAAAAAAAGGATCATTTTGTTATAAAAATGTTGGCCCTCCAAAAAGAGAACTTTCTCCATTGAGCCCAGTGAAGAAGAGACTACGCGTCGAGCCCACGTTCAACTTCAAGACCTTATGTTTCTTGTGTGGTCAGGAAGCTTCTAAGCAGTTGAAGCGCGAAAAAAAGCGCAGAGATGTCATACGAACCGTACAAACGCCAGGCTTGAAGGACACTGTTTTAAAGATGATCGCGGGACTCCCAGACAAATCAATGGACAATGTACGGACCCGAATATTGACACAAGACTTACAGGCTGCGGAGGCCCGTTACCATACATCATGCTTTACATCGTTGTCACGCAGTGCAGAAGTCAAAAAACCCAAGGAATGTACAATCACGAAATCCGAGATGATCGCAAAGAATATGCAAGTGATCTACGATTATATAGAAACGAGTGATGACGTCCAATTTACACTCGCCGAATTCGCAGAAATTTTAGGTAAGTATCGACATGATTGTGTTTCATTTCGTTCATAGTGAACGTTAATTTGAGATATCAATTATTTTCTACAAAATAAATTTAACATTTGCAACAGCACGAAATTTTGGTTAAATTTTGAATTAACCCATGAATGCTGGGACTGACTCTAAAAAGAAATGTTTAATTAAGTTTTTGCACAAACATGTGTATAACATTTTTACGGCATCGTCTATCGAAATGTTATTGACGAAAATTTGTCCCGCCCAGCGATCATGGGTAAAAAAATGTATTAAATTTTAAATTGAGTTTCAATATTTATTCATTTTCAGGTGAAAATGCTCCTTGCCCGGAAACGATCAAAAGTCACTTACGACAAAGATACGGCTGCGACATGGTCCGCTTCACACCAAAAGCAGGAGCTTCAACTATTGTCAGTTTTCGTGACAGCGATTACAGCATTTTAAAAAAGTCGATGCAAGAAAAAAATCTCGATGTTGCGGCGGAAAAGATTAGAATATTAGAGACAGCAGCATCCATCATCCGAAATGACATTATGCGTCAGGTTTGCGACACAGACTCTTATCCTTCCTCAGACGAATTCCTCGAGGACGTTAATGCGGACATTCCTGAGTCTTTGCAGTATTTAGTGGATAAAATCGTGTTGCAAAATAAGAAAGGATCGTTAGATTCATATAGGGTGAAATGCACCTCGGTATGTCACGCGATTATGAGCGCTGTACGGCCAAGATCGTTTTTGTCACCACTTAGTGGAGCGCCTGGGGCGTTAAAAACACGAAAACCTCGGAATTCTCTTAGAGTGAATGAAATGTAATAATTCAAAGTGGAATGTGTAGCTTGTAATGTATAAAAGAAAGTTTACCTATTAAAAAATTGTGCTCTGAATTGAAAAAAAAAATTTATAACTTATTGCAATAATTCAAATAGTATAATGTATATTACGCAGTAGAATATGTTTTATGTCAAAATTAAGTTAAGATATATATTTATATTGAGGTAGTAATCAGGAAAAAGAAGTAAATTAAGGAAAATGAAATAAAAAAGAAAATTATTAATAAAATATTCGTTTATGTAAACAATTTACATTATTGTTCTCGTCAAATATTTTCTTCTACTTCATTCATTTGAATGATAGGTGGAGCATTTAAACAGGTATCGTCACTGCATTGCAGACATGCTACACTACAGTGTAAACCACTCTTTCGACACCCACAAGCAGCTCCACATCCCTTTTTACAACTACAAAATAACATTTTTAATAGAGTATCTGGGGCAGGTAATTGATCGGTCGTTATTGCGATGAGTATGTTGTTGGAATACTTC